TCCTAGCACCCACATTGTGGATCACTATGTCTATAATTTCAGTTCTAGGAAATCCAATGCCTTCTTCCTGCAGACACCAAGCATTCACATGCACATAAATATGTGCACATTTCTCTATGCTCCCTGTAGGGAAATTGAAGATGAGTCTATTTCCAGGACTATTGATCAGGGGGGGCCTTCTCCTGGGGCAGCAAGTGCTCAGCTAGGACATCTCTTGTTCCCTCAGATCTCTAATGTAGCAGTTCTCAACTGGGTGTAGTAGGGAGGAGGTAGCATTCAGATTTGATGGCAGAGGTCCACGGGTAATGTGAAAGTCTCTGGTGACCCCCCAGCCCCACTGATCTTACCCACAATCATACTCATTCTCTTAAATATTTTTTAAAAAATATTTTATTATTTTTATTTTCATATATATGAATATATTGTCTGCATGTATGTAAGTGCACCCGTGTTGTACAATGCCCATGGAGAGTGTCAAATTCTCCTGGAACTGGAGTTATAGATGGTTGTTAGCTGCCATGTGGGTGCTGGGAATCAAACCCAGGTTCTCTCTGCAAGAGCAGTCAGTGTTCTTAACCACTGAGCCATCTCTTCAGCCCCTAACTGTTAAACTTTTAGAGTAAGGGAGCATCTATTCTCATGGCTAAGCATCTTCTTCCATGGGAAATCAGATTTGTTTGCATTGTACCCTAATTATAGAAATGTTTCGGGTGGCAGGGACTTTGCCTTATTCAAGATGCTATGAGTCATGATCTCAATATGACCATTTTGTTTTAATAGTCCTGACCTTAGAGTGTTCAAGCATAACTTGTTTTAAAAAAAAGTCTATGTGGATCTCTGTGAGTTCAAGGCCAGCCTGGTCTACATAGTGAATTCCAGGACAGCTGGGGCTACAGTGAGACCCTGTCTCAAAAAGACCAAAAAAGAAAAAGAAAAAAAATTCTATGTATCCATAAAACTACATCACATTTCTTTGTCCTTGTGAATCCAAATAATTACATAGGGTTTTGATAGCATGTGTGCCATGTGTATTTACAGTCCATACAGTTAGATACATGCATAACATTCTAATTGAATTATTTTAAAAACACAAATATTTTGCTGGCTACAGAAACACATATTAAATATCTAAATCTAGGAACTGCTGACAAACAGCACCTTTTCTAACAAAAGAGAGCAGTTTAATAACAGCGTTGGAAAGCTGGCAATATGTTTGTTAAAATCTTTAATTAGGGACAGGCTTTCCCAGCGGCCTCTAGAAGGCAAAGGTGTAAATGGAGAAACTGTCCCAGCCTGCACACTCGGTGGTGGCTGAGATCCGAGGACAGATGGGCTGGTGAGGAAACTGTGAATGGACAAATGATAACAGACTACTCTGTAATTCCAACATCAGCTCATTAGCAATCTGTCAGAGATTTTAATATGGATCCTGGTGAAAATGCAGAAATGACACGATAGTTATGCGACTGTGTGCCTGTCTAACTGAAAAGGCTATTGTGAACAGACTGGCGGAATGGCTATTAATAAAGCGATAATGTCTGGGGAAACACAGGCATTTGGATGCTTTGTGCTCTTGCTGGAAAATGATGATTTCATGCATTCTCGGGCCATCACAGGAAGCTGAAGTAACAACAGTTTCATGATGGAAATCATTAATAAATAAAGAGCCAAGTCATCACAGTAGACTGGATGAAGACCACGAAGTCTCTCCAGTTTCCAAAGAATGAATGGTGACTTTTCTTGGTTCCCCCAAAGACTGTGTTAACAGAATCAAATGTTCTTGCATCACAAACCAGTTTGCAAATTAATATAAACTCACTAGTTGTGGCTTAAATAGTTGCCATTGAAAACATATCTAGGGTATTGTTCAGACTGAATCTGAAGGATAATCAAGGTTTAGTCTGAAGGAAAAATAGAATAAGCCTGCACAGTACACATGTAACAAGGATTTTGTATTTGTGATCTTACTTAATTTTCATAACAGTTCACTGAGCTCTTTCTCCAATGCCTGGGCATAGAGGTAGCAGCTCCAGAGAGGACATGTGACTTCATGACGGCAGCATGGCTGCAAAGTGGAGATGATTCTGTTTGAACTCAGCTCTTTATGGTGGCAAAGCTAATCTTTGTTGTGCTGCATTGTGGTGCCTCTCAAGCTGTCTGTCATACATAGGGATCTTTTGTACCTTACTGTAGACAGGCCTGAGGGCTCCAGAGAGGGCCTGAGGGCTCCAAAGACTACACTGGGCTCAAAATGCCCAATTTTAATGGTGTACATGGCACTGACTTTTTTGAAGTATATGCTTTTACATTTATTTGTGGGGAATAGCTCTGTTTCCATATAGGAATATACTGTACATAATAGAAATAATTAAACTAATGATCTATAAAATCTAGCAAAAAATTGGGGGCATATATATCACAATTTCAATTACATAAAGCTCAAAGATAAGTCAAACTAATGAAAACTTGGAAATCAGAGTAGTGGTTATTCTGTATAGTGATTGCATACAGGCCCCAGGTGACCTATAAGATTTATTTTAAAAATTTAAAATGTTTACTTTTTATGTGTAGGATTGTTTCCCTACATGTATGCAAGTGCACTTATGTGTGTAATGCATGCAAAGATCAGAAAAGGGAGTCAGATCTCCTGGAACTGGAGTTACAGTTGTTAGCTGCCATGTGGATGCTGGGCACTGGACCAGGATCCTCTGCAAAAGCAGCCAGTGCTCAGAACCGCTGAGCCATCTCACCAGCTCCCTGGAAACTATTTCTTGATCCAGATGGTTACCTTAGGGTGCTCACTTTGTGGAAATTTATTGAGTTTGTAAATTTATGATTTGGACAGTTTTCTGTATATGCATATTTCAATAATGTTAAAAAGAAAACCTCAATTTTTTTCCTTACAAGGTTGAAATTGGAGTCTTTCATATTTGTATCCTTGGGAAAAATTGTTTTTTATGTACAACTTATAGTTTTGGATATTAGAGAATGAAACAAGACAACCAGTGTCTATCTTTCTTTGTTTGGGTTGGTATATGCACTTGTGAAAACACACCCAGTTTTGGAAGATGGGAAATATCTGTATTCACTTGCTGTTACTTTCTTTTTCCTTTTGACACAGACTAATGTATCCGAGACTGGCCTTGAACTCATTAAGTAGCTGGGGATGACCTTGAAATTCTGATCCTCTTCCCTCTCCCTCCTGAGTGCTTGGACTATAGCATGTACAACTATGCATGGCTTATGCAGGAGCTGGGAATCAAACCCAGGGCTTTGTGCATGGTAGACAAACGTTCTACCTACTAAACTACATACCCAGCCCCACTCTCACTTCTCAAAACCTGGAGTTCCTCCTCGGTAGCGGAATGCTCATCAAGTGAAAATTTTGTTATAGGTCTTAGAAATGGAGCTGCCTGATTTGGTGCCCATTGTTGGTAGCAATTCCCCGTGCCAGTAGCAGCCACAGGCAACCCCCTCCCCTCTCAGGAATCAACTTTTCCAACCAGAGTTTACTCTCATTCTTATTTTGTATGTTCTCCCTTCCCCTTCTCAACTTTTCCTATGACTAGGTTCTGGTGGAAGAATGTAAGGATTGCTTGGAGAGGATTTATGCACTTAGCAGGAACTTGAAGGGCTGATTCACCTTGTAAACACATGTCCTTCCAAGGCTAGACAGCTAGCTCAGCAGTAGAGAGCACTGACTACTCTTGCAGAGGACCCCAGTTCAGTTCCCAGTGCCCATGTGGCAGTTTCCAAAGGATCAGATGCCCCCTTCTGGCCTCTATAGGAATTGCATGCACAGATGTACTTACATGCAGGCAAACACTCAAACACGTAAAATAAAAAAATAAAAACGTGTCCTTTCTTAGACTATTTACCTATCTGCAGGATCAATTTTTCTTTATATAAAAAGATAACTATAAACAAGATAGAAAGCTGAAATACACGATATAGCCTTTGTCAACATAAAAACCTTTTAGAATTTATCTCAAAGAAATGATCATGGGTCTGGAGAGATGGCTAAGTAAGTAAAAGCACTTGCTGTCAAGGCTGAAAACCCGAGTTTCATCCCCAAGACCCACATGATAGAAAGAGAGAACTAACTCCTACAAATCATCATCTGACTTGCCTCCCCAAATCAATGAATGAGTATAACAAATTTTTACAAAAGAAATCATCAGACAAGTTTGCAAAAATGTATGTTTCTCAAAGTGTGCTTCAAGGACCACATGCATCATTAGTACCTGTAGTGTTTGGTCAAAATGCAGATGCCTCAGTCTTTCACCTTCCTTATTGAAGCAGGGGCTCTAGATGTGAGATTCTTGCATCCACATTTTAAAGATATGCCAGATGATCTTCTGTCACTTTAAGGTTTAAGAATCATTTATGTACAGAATGCTATTGCAATATTATTTTAAAAAGAGGGTAAAAAGGGGGCAGAGAAACCTAAATGTTCATCAGAAGACTAATTAAGATGATAACACAATAATAATCTGCAGCTTTGAATGTCTGCTATAAATCTAATTTATTGACACAGAAAAAATATTCACAGCATACTGCTGAATGATGAAGAGCCGCTCCTAGTAGTGTATATTATCTGACATTTTTGCTTATAGTTTCTGTCTCTAAGTAATATTATTAGTGTTCATTGCCTTTTACATTCTCTATCTCTTGCAGCAAACATATATTACTTTTACATACCAATAATTCAATAAAGTGATTAAAAACAGAAACATAAAAATATTTGCTATTTGATTTCTTGGATAGGTACATTCCAGGGCAAGAGCCAGTGAAATTTGTGGTGGTGAATTGGAAAGATAGCAATGACTATCTAACATGTCTGTAAGACATCAAGAAAACATCTCTCAGCTGGCGCAGGAGGTCAGCCAGTATTGACACTGGGGCAGAACTTTCTGAATGCAACTTTGGCTTTATGGCTGGTATTTATGTTCTAGGGACTTTTACTCATTAGAACTAATGCTGTTTTGCAGGGAATAAGAATGGTACAGAGGGTAGAAATGCATTCTCTAATGTTGGGATGTTGAGTGCCTAAGGAGACAGACTGACTGACTGACTTGTGTTTAGAAGATTTACAACACAGAGAGCTGAAGAAAATGAAAGGTAATGAACTTCAGTTGAATTCTCATTTTTCAGTCAACCTCTTGCTCCTCAAATTGATTTCTTCTCCTTTTCGAAAGTCTTCCCCCGCCTCCTCCTCCTCCTCCACCCCCCTCTTCTTCTTCCTCCTCCTCCTCTTACTGAAATAATCGTGGGGAAGAAAACTCTTGAAACATTCCAGGGTTTTGCCTCTCAGACTGCAATCTTGAGGGCATTTTTCTCGGTCCAGTTCTGTTTTAAATATTGTCAGGGTGTGCCATAATTGGTTGTGGTAAATGCCACTATAGCACATTGCTACTCACTCTGGAAATGATATGATGAGCTCAGCGTGCTGCTGATCAAATGCACTTCTGCATTAAAACTATTACAGGCAGAGTGCCTTGATGGGATTCTTTCCTCCTAATAGTTTTCCAGGGTTTGTGCTGAAAGGGTTCTGTCAATCAAGTCTGAAAATCTGCTTAACACCCTGACTTGAGTTAATAAAATGCAGCTGCCAGGCTCTCAGCTCAGAGGCCACTGTTCTCTGGTTTAGACATTACCAATGAGCCTCTGTAAAAATGCCTCGTTAGAATTGATACTCATTGATAATACATCTTTTTTAATACAAAGAAATGCATTAAGAAAGAGTCTTTGCCTTACACATAGCCTACTAGAGAAGAGATCCTACATCAAAAGCAGTAGCCAACAGGAAGTCAGCAGGCTAAGCATATTTTTACAAGTACCCCAGAGACAGACTTCATACAGGTGGATTGTGGCTTTCTTAGGTGTCTTAGAGTCAAGACAGCACACCTGTACAGGGGGCTCTGCTAGCATCCTCACTAATTAGTAGAGAGAGGAGAATGTCTAATGAAAAGACTTGTTTTACAAGGAACAATATGTCACAATGCAGAAAGCCTGTGACAACTGAACAGCAGTGAGAAGTGGGAAAATCTCTTAAGACACTGCTTGTGCATAAGGTCCCTATATTACTGTCTCTTAGTTTTTCGAAGACTGGGCCCTCTAGGCCAACTGATTCCAATTTACTTTGGAAAGAAATATTTCTCCTCGGGTTTCATGGTCAGAGGCACCAGCATTCAAACACCTCACATTAAAAGGATACTAGGGAGGTCAATGTTCTGGAGGAAGGGAGATAGATTTCAAACAAATTCTATTCTGCTGACTGCTTCTGAAGAAGGGGAAAAAAAAGAATAAACAAACAAAAGTGGGGTGGGTCTGGGGTAGTCTCATTGGGTGAATTCTCAGCATGGTGGGATGCCATAAAGGCATTGCGGCAGCAAAGCAGGAAACTGAGGAAGGAACACTGTTAATTATACTCTAGTGTTGTTTATCTAAAGGTTTCCATTCAGAGGCAAGTTGGGTAACTTCACAGGAAAGGAGAAGAAAACAGCTTTTCGTGGGTGGTAGAGCTATTGTTAGGAAAGTTTTAATGAGGCACTCTGGGTATAGTCTTCTTAGCACAACTAAAATGGTTTTGGTGGCTGTGAGGTCACGTGGCATTAGCATTAAGGAAGCGCTTGACTCTGTTCTAATTTCCTCCAGATTCCTTTTCAAATATTAATTGCCTAAAATTTCCTGATCAAGTGAAAAGAATAAATATATGCAAATTTGGTGGTGCTTGCTTTAGTACATTGGCTAGTGCTTATCGTGATGGTTCCTGTCTGGGTTATATGTGCTGGCTCTTGCTCCCTATGTGTGGGTGAGGAGCAGACCCTCTTACATTCTCTGCAGGATGGATAGTGACCGATGTAGATTAAATACTTTTTATGTGCTCTGCCCTGAACTGAGCTCTTCATAAACATTCTCCACCTGATCCCCAACACAGCCCTGTGGTGTTGCTGGTGTTTTTTTCATTCCTAATTTATAGGGAAATCAAGTAAAATAAAGGTTGAGTAACTTGCTCAAGGTCATCCAGTGGACAAGTGGATTCTAATCTGATGTGTGTATTCATAAGGCTCAGCTCTGTCCTGTGGGTCCTCTGTACCTGCTGACTGGTGACACACTATCCTTATGCCCTTCCTCAGACAAGCTTGTGGTGTCCTATAGTGGTATTTCCTCCACAGCATTTCTAGGAAAGGATGCTGTGTTCATTACTTTTCTCATTGCTGTGACCACATACCTGAGAAACAGCAACTCTAGGGAAGAAGGAGTTATTTTGTCTCACAGTTTAAGGGATTACAGTCTCTCATGGGTGGAAGGGCAGGGCAGCAGGAGTGGGAGGTGGCTGGTCACATTAAATCTATAATCAGGAAGCAGAGAGAAAACAGGAAGTGGAGATGGGCTATAAAACCTTCAGACCCACCCCTCAGTGACCCACTTCCCCCAGTGAGGCACCTTCAAAGTTTTCACAACCTTCCCAAACAGCACCACCAGCTGAGGACCAAGTATTCACACGTGAGCCTATGGGGAACAATTCACATTTAAACTATAAGAGGCTCTCTATACCTGTCCCTGGAAAAAGCCCTGGGTGACTCTTGTATCCCAGACCCCCTTGAGAAATTATTGCCATTGAAGAGGGGACTACCTTCTACAGGAAGAGCGCCAGTGTCCAGATCGGAGAGACTGGACTGTCAATTTTGACTTTCAAACTTATTAGCCGTGACTGGATAACATGTCACTAGGGGCATATGAACTCTGAACCATATTTAGGCTCTGTGCTTCTGAAAAGCTGCCTTCTAGGAGGAAAAGTGAGAGGTGAGAACAGCATGATTGTGTTTAGGAGAAAGATATTAATAGAGTTGATAAAAAATGGGCTATGATGATACCACCCACCTCTCCCAAGCAGATATCACTAACTGATCAGGGCACCTGTGTGTGTGTGTGTGTGTGTGTGTGTGTGTGTGTAGGTGTGTGTGTGTGTGTGTGTGTGTGTGCACTGAGAATCAAACCCCAAGGTATTTAGCATGCTAGGCAAGTGCTCTGTCACTTAACTACATCCCAGCCCTATGATTATGTTTTGCAATAAGTTTGTATTCAGTATCAGAATTCTTCTCAAAGGTTCCAAAGCTCACTGGAGATGACCCAAAGAAGGAACTTACTTATCAGATACCCACATGTAAGTCTACAAACAACAACAACAACCAAAAATGGAGGAAGAATGTCTAAAGAAAGAAGTGCAACTGTGAACACTGCCTCCTCTTATTTTGCTTTTGTGTGTGTGCATATGCATGTGAGCTATGTGTGCCCATGCCTGTGTGTGTGTGTGTGTGTGTGTGTGTGTGCATGTGCATGTAGTGATCATAAGACATTCTCAGGTGGTGTTTTTCAGGTGTCATTCACCTTTTGTTTCAAGGCAGAGTTTCTTGCTTGCCTGAACTCAACATGTAGGCCAGGCTGGCTGGCCAGCAAGTCCCAGGGATCCTCCAGTCTCCACTTCCCCAGTTTTGGAAGTGTGCACCACAGCACCTGGTAAAGCACTTTATTGACTGAATCATCTCCACAGCCCTCATTTTTCTTTCCATGATTTTATAATCCTTTTCACATTCATAGAAAGTGACTCTCATGGAAGGAGTGGAATCCTCAGTTGGAAACTCACATTTGTGATTACTTTTCAGATATCACCAACTATAAGCCTTACAGAGAAGATTAGTAGCCCCATGACACAAGCAAGGAAAGAGGCTCAGAAAAGTAGAGTAACTTGAGCCAACAAGATGGTTCAGTGGGTAAGCAAGCTGCTGCCAAGCCTGATGACCTGAGTTCCATCCCAGGACCTGCCTAGTAGAAGGAGAAAACAGACACCTGCAAGGGGTCATCTGACCTCCACACACATGCTGTGGCATATGAGCACCCCTGCCCCATATACACAATAAATAAAAATGAACAGTAGCACTTGACTAGGACTTATAACCTAGGAACCTTTAGCATTAAATGCCGTCTTTTCCTACAGTCCCTTGGGACCATCAACACTGGGTTGTAGACCTTTTGCAACGACCTGTGGCCTGCCTGCTTTCCCTCTCCACCGTCCCTGGCTTCCCTGTGGCTGGGTCCACTGATCTCTTTACCTGCTGTGTTGTGGTGCATAGGGCAATAAGGAGCTGAGCCAGGGTTCCCTGCAATGTACTTCAGGAGGTCTGATCGCAGAAAAATGTCACTTAGAAAGACAATTAAGTGATTGGTGAGATGATGGCTCAGTGGGTAAAGGTGCTTACTGTCAAAACTAATGACCCAAGTTCTATCCCTGGGACCCACATGGGAGAGAGAACCGACTCCCTAAAGTTGTCTTCTGACCTCCACACGTGCCATAGCACACCCACAATAAATAAGTGTAGAAAACAAACCAAACTAAAAGTAAGCCACTTAAGACTGCTTTTTCTAGTTTCTATAGTAGTTTACTGGACTTGAATCTTATCTTAAAATTGAAATGGAAGCTTATGAAAATTGGCATTTTAGAATTAAGTCTGTGTAACAAATTATCCCCTCTTACTAACATAAAGCAGTCAAGTAGAGCTGGGCATGCAGTTCAGTGGTAAGGCATTTATCCAACATGCACAAGGCTCTGGATTTGATCCTTAGTATAATGAAACAAAACCCCAAACCCAACCAAAGTGTTATGCTACCAGATTTTGTGTGTCAAGAGCTCAGCCTGCACAGCACATGATTCAAGGAGTTCCCCACCATCACTTTCATTGATGGCAACTAATCTTTTAAAAAAGATTTATTTATAGCTAGATGAGAGGGATCTGACTAGACCACGAGAGAATGGACTTGCACTGGGGAACATCTGGGGACACTGACTTGACACAGTGGGTCCTTAACACCCAGGACAGTGTATATGGGTTCCAGTGGAGGGGCTATGGGAGGGTGCTGGGGGGGATGGGTCTATAAAGATGTTTTGTATTGTTTGAGATATTCTGTGTGAAATAAAACAAAATTTAATAAAAACAAATTAAAAGATTTATTTACTTTATGTGTATGTGTGAGTGCCTGCAAGTATGTATGTCATCCTGTGTGTGCCTGGTGCCCGCAGAGGCCAGTTCCCCTGGAGCTGGAGGTACAGGAGGTTGTGA